TAATAATAATAATAATGTTGAATGGCTGAACCAGAATCGATGTCCGAATCCCTCTTCTACTGCAGGTATCACATGAGGTCCACCATAGCCATGGCCGCCCTTCTTCCTCCTTCCTCCACAGTCTATGGCGGGCTACCAGCCTCACAAGGCATCGCCCTGCTGTGCAAAGGACAACACAGAGCAGCTATGGCTGCTCTAGCTCAGGCTGCCATGCCTGACTCTGCCTCGAAACTTCTTGGTGTAGCTCTACCCCAACTGGGGCCTTCCTGCTGCAGCGCCCACCAAGGTGATGAAGATGGCAACCACCATAGACAGGTAAGTACCTCTGGCGCTCCCCCTTCCTAGTCCTGCTCTTCTTCTCCTCATGTCCTTGCTCCTTTCCCAGCAGCGCTGCTGCAAGCTAGTGCTGCTCCAGCCAGCGCTCCAACCAGTGTGTCGCCAGACTTCAACCGACAATGAGGAGGAGCACCTTGCTCCTCCTAGAGATAAGCCGCCTGCTTGCCTCTTGGCGAGTGACTTCCTAGGTCCCGCGGCCTCCACGCAACCGGTACCTCGGAGGGAAACATCATTGCAGACTCTGATATTGCTACAGGCCCTAGACTCAGACTGGTTGGACTGGTACCCGCCTAGACCTAGCCTACAACTACTGGGCCTCTAAAAATGCCAACTTTCGTCGTCTTCTACTCAGTCTCAAGTACCCGGCACATCTACCTCTACTTTGTTGGTACCGGCCTACCTGCTAGTGAGTGTTTTCCGCTGCTCTATCACGGGCCTCTTACCCCAACCCTCAATTTACGGCCAGAGGTATGTACCCGCCCTTCGGGCCTTCCAATCAACCAAGTGCCCTTGCAGGTCACACACACACTCAAGCCGACAAGCAGTCAGACAGACATGGAGACCAGCAAGCATGCACCCACACAGACTTAGAAAACTCAGCAACAACCAGGAAACTCGGTATGGCATACATTCCATGAGCAAAACTCAGAAATCAGCTGTGTGTTTCAGTCCGTGTTTGGCAGGGGATTACATTGCAGACAATACCATCTTTTCGTCCTTCACTCTTAATCCACCCGTACACACCCCCAGCCTGCAGTCCGAAACTTCTCGCCATAGGAAAACGAGGCCGAAACGTCAAATGCTGGGCCCACCGTTGATAAATTCGATCAGCGGTAGCATTTTCATTTCGCACCTCCAGACTTTGCGGTGTCTGGCCTGCAGCCCAGGTGCCCATGTATATGACTATGTGCCCATTTATTTGACCAGGCGCTTCAATGCTGGGCACCTGGTCCAGTACATGGGCACCTGGGCTGCAGGCCTGTATTGAACATTCTCGTACAGGTCCAGTATTGAACATTCTAGTACAGGTCCAGTATTGAACATTCTAGTACAGGTCCAGTATTGAACATTCTAGTACAGGTCCAGTATTGNCTAGTACAGGTCCAGTATTGAACATTCTAGTACAGGTCCAGTATTGAACATTCTAGTACAGGTCCAGTATTGAACATTCTAGTACAGGTCCAGTAATATGTCCAATGCAAGGTGGTTCTTTTAACAGGACAGACACAATCTCACAGTGACTGTGTCTGTCACTGGCACCTGTGTCGCATTTGTCCGTGAATTCCTGAACATTACACGCAGCATCAGGATTTGCACCTCCCAAAATCCTACCCACACTCTCATTGTTGCCCTCATTCCCATGATTGTTCCCTAGTTATCCCCACACACCTCACTCACATGTTTCCCACTGCTGCATGCCCAGAAGCAGCAGTGGGGCATGGTGCAGAACCTAAGAACCAACCGAAGGAGAACGAGCAATACCAATGCAGCAGAAGACTGATACACACAGATCTGACTCAGCAACAAGACCGCACACGCAGTCATCATCAACACTGGTGTGGCGGTATAGTATACACAGAAGAGGGCCGCCATGTCCTGACGATAAAGGAGGGAAGGGACTAAGTGGGGAGGATATGGAGGAGACAAGAACTCGAAATAGTGCCTGATTAGTCTCCAAATGTCTCTGTATCACCAACTCTCTAACTCTCATAGATCTCTCTCTCTCTCTCTCTCTCTCTCTCTGAAGAAGAAGCATTGGAGGGAGGGAGGGAGGAAGAAGGAGAGCGATGGAGAGGAGGGAAAGAGGGCAAAGAGGAATCCTCTCAATGTCTCTCTGTAACGGAGAGCCAGATACTAACCGGCATTAAGGTCTTGCCTTGGAGCTGTGGTGCAGGTGCAATGAACAGGAGCTATGGCGCCACCTGCAGGTAAATCTCCTACCTCTGGCCTCCGCCCTCGACCTCCTACTCATCTACCGTCGATCGCGCTGCCCAACAGCGTCACAACCTCAACCTTTAAATCCTGTGTGCCGGGAACAGGAACAGCCCACCGGCTACTATGTCAGTCCGCATCCTTGACTATCCAATCTGAAGGCCGATCGACAATCCAGGAGGCACGCCCGAAACCTGACAGAGAATTGGCTAAATTCTCTTTTTTACATCATCTCTCTTGTTTATATTGTTATTCAATATACTCTTAACTGAACTATTTATAATTCAATTTATGTCTATTTATGAAGTTTTAACTTATTATTTTTTTTTCAAAACAATGTTTTCTATTCTTTTCCAAAACGTGTGCTGGACCCAGACCAACGTGGACCCGCCCAGGAGAACTGCTGCTTACGTCAACTACAGCCGCTAGGCCTGGAACGGCGAAGTGAAACGACGCGTCCAGACCGGACAAACCTGAATCAGACAACAGACTCCAGAAACAACAAAAAAAAACTGAGAACAGAATAAAACTGAGAAGTCAACGAAAATAAATCTCAGAAAAAATGCAGACGATCCAAAGAAATGGAAAGAACACCACCCCAAGCTACTCCTAATGCCCCCTGCAAGGGGAAGGCTGCAACAGGGCCCGTGTGGGATCTGTGCATACCACGCACACAGCATCGGTTGTGGCACAAACAAGTTTGTGCGAGGATTTGGCTCCTCGGCAGGCCTAAACCTTAAGTGAAGGCGGGCCTGATGCAATCACGAGGGGCCCATTGTTGTTGATTTCGCATTTGGGGTCCAGGCAGTCACGGTGTGTCAGTTCGAACCCAAGCCACAGCCAGACAAAATTTGTTTTGGCCTTCCAGGCCTTCCTTCGAAGCAGGCCCGGGGCCACATCGGCAGCAGTATACACGACAGGCAGTTGGGAGGCGTAACCAAACAGGGCCCAGGGCAGTAGCAGTAGATGCCCAGCTACCCGGGGCCTACCGGAATTTTCTGGGCACAGGCCCAGCCCAGCCAGGCAGCGCACAGGCCAGACGAAAGAGATCGCTGCCTGGCCGGTCATTCGGACACTTGCTAGTCTGGTCATTCGGGCACTAGCTAGTTTGCGGCAGCACTGCTGAAGCGGACACTCTCGATGCTGCTAGCGCAAGAGCAAGGTGCAACACACATGCAGTCGTGTAGGAGGAAGGGCGCTGCTGCGGGCAGCACCATAGCCCAGCTCCCATAGCTGGCTGGGGCTTGGATGCACAGCAAGCGGTAGTGGTGGCCTTCGTGTGTGTGTGAGAGAGAGACACGACGTGGGTGAAAGTCAAGGGGGATAGAGAGAGAGATAAGGATGATGGCGTGAGGGTAGGGTACATACCTGGTCTCGCCAATAGTCTGCAAGAGACGACATCTTCAAGTACTTCGGTGGATGCTGACGTCAACAGTCGCATTGTCAATTCGTAGGCACAAAGTAGCTGTACGAGAGTAGTCTGGGCGCCGGGCGCCAAGTAGGGGGAAGGGCCTGGACACTTATGTTGGTGACGAGGAGAGTAAGCTCTCATTGACATTTGGTTGCAGTGTTTCTATTCTACATTGGTGTATATTGGTGCATTGCTTCTTTCCGGAGACAGTGGGAGTTTCTGGCTTTCAATGTGATTGTGCAATCTGCATTCTGTCATCTCACTGTTGCTCATGTTCCTTGCATTTGGAAAGGGCAGCAAAATCACACACGGGCAACAACCCCGCGCGCCAAGTTTGAAAGGGCAACAAAAGCAATTTCATCCATGCACTGTGTTTGAAAAGGGCAATGAAATCACGCATGGGCCACATCCATTTTTACCAGTATCGCCCTTTTCAAACTCCACACCAGATTTTGCTGCCCACACAATGGCACACATGTTTTTTTGAAATTTTCACCCTTTCAAAACTAAAAGTACGACACTCCCGGACTTGTTTCTTTTTAAAAAACTCCGAATTCGGTCTCTCATTCCATCCAAGAATCATCACCAAGCAATTGAAAGCATCCATAAAACAAAAACAATAGAGAAACAGTATAGTAGAAGGCGCAAGGTTGGCCACGTTAAGGTTCAGCACCAAGTGCCCACACACCCGTCCTCCACTGAAGCGGCACACTAGCACATATACAATAGACGATATAAACATGTATACATATATTTTCCATAACCCATTAAGGGATGGAGGGAAAAGGCAACTAACCTAAGACAGAGCACCCCAAATTCTCTCTCTTTTTCTCCACAAATCGTGTGTGTGTGTGTGTGTCTGTGTGTGTGTGTGTGCGTGTGTGTGTGTGTGCGTGTGTGTGTGTGTGTGTGTG